CAGCCAACATGGCTGGCTGGGGGGTTCTGGGCGTTGAAGTCCACCCATCTTAAAGTCCCCAAGGTTGAGAAACGCCACTTTATCAGAACTGGGCATCTGGGCCAAGTCGGCAGTAATAAAGGCATTTCACCACTGAGCTGATCAAAACCTTGCCTTTCTTTCACACACGTACACTCTGTAACTACAGCAGGGAATATTTTACACTTTTCATAACCCCCTCCATTTGTATGGAGAACCCTTTGCAAGTTTCAACTTCACTCTCGTTGGCAGCCACAGCGGGAAGAGACTCATACTGTAAAGCATCTCCAAACTAGGCCATAAATGAAAATCAGTGGTTTTGCGCACGTTGGTTGAGGTGTCTTTTGATATCCGGTGATCATCCCTTTTGTCCACATTTGTACCGTTTGTGCTTTTATTGATTGATTTGATGTATACAGCCGCCCTTCTTGCGAAGCAGCCCTTTTATACATTCTTAGGTCTTTGGATTTATTTGTCGGTTTATTTGCGGTCCACTTTTGGACACAATCCTCTTCATACGTCTGTGTTGGAAAACGAGCGAGGGCTCCGTGCTCGTTCACTCCTCTCCCTCTTCCGTCCTCAATTGTGTAGAAAATGAAACTGCTGCTTTGTGGCTACTAACAGCTTTGGAAGAGCTTGTGTGGAGTTGTATTTAAGGCAACTTAGCATTTAATCATTTTCCTGAATGCGTTGTGCTGAGGGGTGCAAAAGCATAAAGCTTTGGAAGCGAAGTCAGTTCTGTTCGCTGTTTTCTGGAGAATATGTTGGGAGCATGTTCTCCAGAAAACGATAGGATACCTCTGGTCCTTTTCTTTTTATCACGATCATTATTACTGATAGCCTTAAGTTGAGATTAACCCTCTCTGTTTAGGCTTATTACAGCTCATTTCTTTTTATTAACCAAACCCATCTTACTGATCCTATGGAAGTTCAATTATTTTTCTTAAAACGTGCTGCACAGTTATGGGTTCATAAATGTTCTTAGGCCCTTAGTTAGTGAACATTTAAATAAGGTTAACCTTTATCAGTATTTTATCCCTGATATCTTAGTTAAGTTTACTCTTATTTTAATATTTTTATTATCTTAAGGACTACACCTATCCCTCTTATTGCACTTACGCATCTATTGAATCTTTTTGCATTGGTTTTTCATTTCTGGGTGTGTTTTATAATTTCTGTTATGAAGGTGTGTTAATCACTGGTCAATGGCCATAATGCATGGGTTGATTGATAACAGAATCCCTCAACTGATCATTGCGACTAGCAATAGGATGTGTGTGTGTGTTGTAGATGCGGACCGATTTACACTCCTTTTACTTTAATTGCACAAAAGTGGTTAACAGAACAAAGGCTTGCAAAGTAATAGTAACGTCACTATGTTTTTAAAGCACAGTTACCAAGGATCCATAAATAGTTGCACGAGTGTTCTGTATTAGAGAGCTGTGAAAATCTAAGGCATATTATTGGTAGAAACCTGACTGTGTGTGTATGTCTGCTCTTCACCTTTGATGTTTTCTTTTCTGTTTTTGTGTTTACTGGATAGGAGTTGGGAATGTTTTAAGTGTTGTTGCCATTTATTTAACTATTTCTAAACCGCTCCACTTTTTTCAAAATAAAGGGTTTTCCCAGGGTAGCCCACGGAGGACAGTTCAGCTGAAAATTTGATTTCCACTTCAGCATCCAAGCTGAAATATCTGATTCGAAAGTGATGCTTAAGCTTGCTGTTCCTTGGCATAGAACAATCTTACAGTTCAGCTTTAGTTCTTTGTTCAGCCTCAAGTGTTGAACAAAACTTTCCAGATATGAACCCAGAGGAAATATTGTGAAACACCCATATACCAAGACAGAAATTCAAAAGTAGTTTTGTAGCTTGTCTAAAATGCAGCCTAGTAGAGCAGTTTGGAATGGACAGGCTGTGATCCAGTTGATCATTCTCAAGTTCAGCAGCCTGTCTGCTAAGACGCATCGGAGCCAGGGCAAGTGGTCCATCAGAGTTGAACTTCCCTCATGGAAGTCATCTCTTCCAGTGCTTCATGCCAAGGGAGGCTCCCTTACGTTCCTACAATGTGCAGCTTTTCCTAGCAAAAACAACAAGAAGACCCACTGCAGGAAATGGGGACTAAAAGGGCAGCCTGCCTGTCCCGCTTCTGTGGTAGGGGCCATAGGGCACCCATCACGTCCACTGGGCCCGGGAAAGGATAGTGCAGGAGCGCTCTTGAGAAGAACAAACTGACCAGGTTCAAAATGACTTGCTTGCTGATTGTATCCTTTGTAGTAGCTCAGGGCATCTGTGGGGCTAACCTGAAAGATGGAGACGAAACGTTGTTGGAAAGGGATGTTTTTAATTCAGCTTATTTTGGCTGCAGGTAGAAGATGCCCTTTCCTACCTTGACCAGGTGAAGCTGCAGTTCGGTAGCCAGCCTCAAGTCTACAATGATTTCTTGGACATCATGAAGGAGTTTAAATCTCAAAGGTATAATGAATGGCTGCTTTTTTATTTTTATTTTCCTTCCCTTGAAGGCAACTCTTCCCTCCCTTTTTCTTCTTCTTTCTTTTTCCCTTTGCATCCAAAATTCTCCCAGTAGCACAGCTTTCTGTTTCAAAACCTGAAAAGGCCCAAGAAAACTCTGCTTGCCAAAGTCAAAATCTGCTCAAAAATGTGTTAACTCAAGTTCTAAAGCACAGTCTGAAAGACAGCTAAGTGATTAGTGCCTTGCTAAAAAAGGAGAAATTAGAATTGTAGATATAGACAGCGAAGCGTATATATGTAGCTCCCGGAGAGCTGTGATAAGTCGAAATGTTCTTGTTTTCTGCTGTTTTCTTATATTTCTACTTCTTTCTTCTTCTTCTTTTTGACTATTTGAAACCAATTAGCTCATCTGGTTAGATAGGCGTGGCAGGATAAGTTGTAGCAGTTTTATTAAAAAGCATTACTACTGTATCAACGTTATTTAGGTAAAGTAATTTCTTTGAACTGTGCGGGAGCCATTTCCGAACAGCAGATATTTAAAATTCCAAGAAGCAGTTTGGGGGCACACACTGTATACCAGTGTTTCTCAACCTTGGCCGCTTGAAGATGTGTGGACTTCAACTCCCAGAATTCCCCAGCCAGCATGAGCCTTTATTACTGCCGACTTGGCCCAGATGCCCAGTTCT